TTCTTCCAGCCTCTAAATTTTTTTCTGTATGCGTGTATTCTACTCTTTCTGTCCTGGCTGCCGTGTATATATTTGTATATATAAAACCTAATTTTTTTAATCCAATCAAAAGTCCATCCAAGTTGAGGCCCAATTAGATAATGTTTGCTTTCCAAATCCTCAATTCTGTCATGTAATGCAAGTTAGTCCTTGTACTTTGAATTTTGTTATTTTTCGTCACATCTTTCTTTTTTCCTTCAACTCCTTTTTCATTCATAGAATTTCACATATTAAATATGAAATATAACAATTTAGAATATATCTTGTCAAAAGAACTATCAAATATCGTTATTTTAGGTCTCGAATAAGTGTATAAAATATACTTATCAAATACTCCTAAACTTCAACATTTGTTTGTCCTCAAACAAAATTATAACTTAAATAACAACAAACACAGAAGCATGCAAAAATATTCGGTTAGATAATCTATCATTTTATCTCCGTATTTGAAATTATAGTACTAAATCNCTTAGCAAAGTAAAAATATAGCCTAACATAATATTGAAATTAAACAAATAAAAGTGGAATGACATCACCATAAATTGAAGAAACGTGATTGATTTTAATTGAAGCTGCCTTTTTTTCGTCTTCGTATCTGCAGCCTGCTATTTCTGTTTCTGATTTCTGTGAGTATACATATAAATCCAAAGCAGCCGCCACTTGTAGCCTCTATATGCGTGTGGAGTATATATCTATTCCATCTCCTACCAATGGATGCGTGTATATATATTTATTTCCCAGCCAACTTTTTTCTTCCAGCCTCTAAATTTTTTTCTGTATGCGTGTATTCTACTCTTTTTGTCCTGGCTGCCGTGTATATATTTGTATATATAAAACCTAATTTTCTTAATCCAATCAAAATTCCATCAAGTTGAGGCCCAATTAGATAATGTTTGCTTTCCAAATCCTCAATTCTTTCATGTAATGCAAGTTAGTCCTTGTACTTTTGTTATTTTTCGTCACATCTTTCATTTTTCCTTCAACTCCTTTTTCATTCATAGAATTTCACCTATTAAATATGAAATATAACAATTTAGAATATATCTTATCAAAAGAACTATCAAATATCGTTATTTTAGGTCTCGAATAAGTGTATAAAATATACTTATCAAATACTCCTAAACTTAAACATTTGTTTGTCCTCAAACAAAATTATAACTTAAATAACAACAAACACACAAGCATGCAAAAATATTCGGTTAGATAATCTATCTTTTTATCTCCGTATTTGAAATTACAGTACTAAATCTACAAACCGCTTCATAGTCACAATACCAATCAATATCTACTCTTCCAGTACAAAATCGACGTGTGTGTGAAGAACTAAGTAGACAATCATGACTTTACAAATTGCTTCAATTCCCGACCCTCTGTGGTTAAATATATCTTTTCACATCTCGTATGATTTACACACCCCCAAACTTGTTCTTTTATCACTCTTTTCTCAGTGTGTAATTTAAAGTTAAATGTTTTATTACTATACTCACCCTCTCTAGTTCATGTGGACTTTACTAATTGTAAGTCAACACATCAATAAATAAGGATTTTTCAATTCTTTGATTACTTCGACTTTCAAGACTCAATTATGCTAATTATCATTTATCAAAAGTCAAATTCACTCAAACAAGTGTTTAGGGCTTTACCAATGCATTTTCGTGCTTTTTTTTATACACTTGTTTTTTTTTTTTTTTTTTTAAAGTATTTGTTTTTTTTTTTTTTTAAAAGTTTTTTTAAAAATTTTTTTTNTTTTGTTTCTTTTTTTTTTTTTTATCACTTTTTTTTTTTTTTTTTTTTTTTAAAGTATTTGTTTTTTTTTATTTTTAAAAGTATTTTTCTTTTTGCATTCTCTCTCTTAAACTTTCTAAATGGCTCATGTAATAAATTTTAGGTCGATAACTCCCAAATCAGATGACTTTAGGGCACCAGGTTTTAAACACCCTTACATGCTTAATAACCTAAGTCAAAAAGGTTTTGAAGAGAATTTTCACATTTTTTTAAAAAAATATGCCTTGATCAGTGCAATGCTCATTATCAAACACCTATTCAAGCAAACAAACCGACCTCCAACTTAAGATTTTCGCTAACTTTTATCTTGTTAATCTAAGACAATCCACACAAAAGTTTTCACACATGGAATTCCTGTCCACATCCGTATCTTCCTACAACAGCAAAATAACTCCCAAACTGTGCTAAATTTGGTCTAAGGATAAGTAATTTAGTATGGTTTGGGTAAAGTATCTATATCCAATTATATCAACCTATCAATTATATGAATCAACTCATCACAATATCCAACTTAATTCTAGTGCATGTATAATATCAAGTTTTGCAAGGTTAAGTCTCAATCAGTCTAGTACGCATCCACAGTTCATAAATCAACACAAAATCTCAAATTTAATCACCATTGTTGGCCAGACTATCTAACTCATAAAAGCACATAACCTACAACAAGAAAATATATATTTTTTTTTATTTTTTTTCAAAATTTTGAAATTCTTTGATTTTCTTTGCATTTTTCTATTATATTCTAGAGCAATAACAAAAAATGAAAAAATAAAAAAAAATACACAAACACTAAAAAACACACGAAAACTTAAAAACTCAATGTTTTTCCCACCCTTAAACTTAAAACCGATATTATCCTCAATATCATAGAGCATAAATAAGAATATAAGGGAACGGGGAAGAAAATGAATAAGGTCCTCCCCGAATTTTTCTGTTGAAGGTGCGATCCATTATGTGTGACGGCTAGATAATTTCTTTCTCATGCTTTCCCCTGTGTTGGTTTAAGTATTCTGTGACGTCATGTTCCTTCACATAGTGGTCAAATCAAACAATAAAGATTAAATAACCTAAAACATGTGTTACTTAGCCCAAACAATTGAAATAACCAACAATAAATTTAATGTCCTAAGGGAAAACATGATAGGATGGTGATACCATATAAATTGAAACGTACATATAACTAATGCAACCTATTAATTAAGAATAAAACTATATGCAATACAATACGAAAAACAAAATAAATAAAAGGACTCGGAAATTGGGTTGCCTCCTAACAAGCGATGAATTCATAGTCTTTAGCTAGACTTGACAGCTTGATCATTTCGGATTGTGGAGTTGGGTAAATGACTTCTCTTTATTAAAATCGCCACCTTAATATGCTTTCAAACACTGCTCATTTACCTTGATGTTGTCTTTTGTCTCATGAGTCGCCTCAACTGTTCCATGTAGAAAAACTTGAACAATTGTGAATGGTCTAGATCATTTGGAGTGTTGTTTCCCAAGGAAATGTTTCAACCTAGAATTGAACAATAGTATTTGACTTGGAGTGAACTCACGCCT